CCCGGAGCGCAACCTGAAACTCAACTTCACCCCTTTTTTGTGTGCTCAGCTCTACTTTCAGGGCACTGACGGACGCCCACCGCTCCACAGAAACGGCTTCAAGACTCTTTGCTTGGACCCCAAAAATCTCACGGCCAAGGGCCGGCCGGCACCCCTTCCCCACCGTCCCTCCCGGTGCCGCAGCCGAGCACAGCAAAACCAGGCAGCTTCAGTAAAAAACAAAACTTTATTTGGTCCATCAGAACCTGAGTTTGAAAACCACCCATGGATAATTCGTATCATACAGGGATTACTGATCTGATTTACAATTGATAAAATATCCTATGTTTCTTAAGAGCTGGACAGTATTTACAGGGTTAAAAATATTCACAGCTCAGAAAGACAGAGAGAGAGAGAAAAAAGTGAAGGACAAATCATCTTGAGGAGGAGGGAGCAGGGAAGAGAGAAAACAGATCAACAAACAAAAATAAGGACAGAGCTTGGCTCAGCAGCCCCGGCCGGGGGGGCCAGGAGGGTGCCAGGGCAGCCCACCCCCCCTGCCCACCCCTCAGCTCCCCGGGGTGAGAGGGAGGGAGGGACGGAGGGACACGCTGGGCAAACCCCACAGCCCGCACATCCCCCTGCCCGGGCTGGCTGGGCGCAGGATGTGGGGTGCAAGCTGCCCCCCAGCACGGTCCCCGCCGGAGCAGGGCCCAGCATCTCCCACTGCCCCCCTCCAAGCAACCCGGGAAGGAGAGGGTTAACACCAGGGGACACCCAAAACACACACACAGATACACACCCCCCCACGCCTGCGCCAAGCCACGATGCCCTGAAACCGTGGGGTCAGCCCCCGCCACGGACCACTCGCCGGGGCCAGCGGCACCCCGAGGCTCTTGCAAGCCTTCGCCTCGTGCTCACTACCTTCCACGGGACTTGGCCTCTGAAGGATGGGGCTCTCTGCTTCCCCCCCTCCCAAAATCACTCCTCCCCTCCCTGGCACATGGCAACATGGTAAAGCCACAGGGAGCTGCTCCCCGAACCCTGGGTCTGTACCTGTGCCCTTCACCCCTCACCTCTGCAGGGCAGGGGAGGGGAGGGGAGGCCCCTGCAGGGCAGTGCCCGGGGGGCTGAGCCCAGCTCAGGACGCATGGCTTCTCTCCAGGCACTGCTTTCAGCGGCCGCCTTTGCATAGTAACACTTGTGTGACGAGTTGAGGGGGGGCCCCTGCTGCCGCAGCCCCCCCCCGAGCATCGCCCCGTGGCCCCGCTCCCCGCTCTGGAGCGGCAGCAGAGGAGGGCACCTCTGCATTTCGCCCTGAGGTGCGGTGAAAACCCGGCAGCGGCAGCTTTCTAAAACAACCCAGCGCCCTCTCCTCCCCAGCGCTGGCATGGCGCAGGGGGCAGCCTCCGCACCCGGGACCGGCGA